AAGTCAAAGACAACTCGGACTAATGTCAAAGACAACTCGGACTAAAGTCAAAGACAACTCGGACCAAAGTCAAAGACAACTCGGACTAAAGTTAAAGACAACTCGGACCAAAGTCAAAGACTATTCGGACCAAAGTCAAAGACAACTCGGACAAATGTCAAAGACAACTCGGACTAATGTCAAAGACAACTCGGACAAATGTCAAAGACAACTCGGACTAAAGTCAAAGACAACTCGGACTAATGTCAAAGACAACTCGGACAAATGTCAAAGACAACTCGGACTCAAGTCAAAGACAACTCGGACAACTTTTTTAAAGACAACTCTGACAACTTTTAAAGACAACTCGGACCAAAGACGACTTGGCCCACAGACTAATCGTCCAAAGACATCTCAGACCAAATACAACCCGAACTACTTAATGTAAGATTCGAATTTCGGTAGTAGAAAATGGAAGGACTCTCGCGTTACAGTCAAACACGTGGAATTTGGCGAAAATATGCCTACCAATATTGTTTTCTGTTGATACTCGCAAACTGAAAAAACTCGGCTGTATCTTTGTAAAAAAAAAATCAAAATATTTTTTAAAAACGAAAATTTAATAAAAAATGTTTCGTTTTCTGTTTTTAATTCAGTTATAAAATTTGTACGAATGACCTTGAATTGTTTACTTCCGGTGTAGAGAGAAACTGGAAGGTGAATTTTAGGATTCTGAGATGCATCCAGCGGAAATACCCGATTACAAAGTTTATAAGGTTGCAGATGCTCCACGTCTGGTGGAATTAGAGAAAAGACTCGCTGCCAAGGGGCTGAAAGATCCCTGGATCAGGTAAAATTAATTTTACTATGGTTTTTGGTCGAGCATAGTCCGAAATGTGAAAAGTTTAAATTTATTTTCCATGGTGCCTAAATGAAGTAGCTTACTGTTGACAGGGTACCAGCAGGGACGTATCTAGAAAATGCCTGAGGGTGGGGCCTTAAATCTCTGTCTCTGAAGGACTAAATGCCTGAGGAGGCTAGGAGGTGATAGTGACCCCCGATACACAAAAATTGTAATTCAGAGACATCCATAGTTAACATATCTAATTATCTTAACCTTTAACTTGTACCTTGTTTTATCATACATCTTTACTTTGTGACCTAGGCCAGTGCTTTCATGAGACTATGTTATCATCACCATCTAACACTGTATAATCTTTACTTTGTGACCTAGGCCAGTGCTTTCATGAGACTATGTTCTCATCACCATCTAACACTGTATAATCTTTACTTTGTGACCTAGGCCAGTGCTTTCATGAGACTATGTTCTCATCACCATCAAACACAAAATTTAGCAAATCTCATTCTTTTACTTTTTTTTTTCAGAAATGAAGTGTGGAGATTCACAGAGGCCAATATGGTGAAACGAAGTCATATTTTAACTAAATTAATTATACCATTTACGTGTGCTGCTGCATTCGTGTCCCTTTTCACCGTCATGGAGAAAAAATTGGACATCTGGAAGTACGATGAGGAACATTAAAGATGGATTACCCTGGAATATTTATGCTCGAGAAGTTTGGTCTACCAGTATATGAAACTAATGGAATATTGAAATTGTGCAAGTTTTGATTATTTTTCAGGAAAATTTAGACTTACTGTTGTAAAGTTTAGATGGTAATGTCAAATTAAAATATGGTAAAAATATCGTTTTTGTTTTTCTTATAATTTTTTGAAGATTTCCCTCTCAGTGGTATGAAACCCTTGAATTCTGAAGGTATCATCTCGACCTATGCCGGGATTGAATCCTGGACCTTCAGGTTAGCAAGCAAGCGTTTAACTCACTGACAGGGGGAAACTGGGTTGAAAAATCTGAAGGTATCATCTCGACCTATGCCGGTATTGAACCCTGGACCTTCAGGTTAGCGAGCAAGCGTTTAACTCACTGAGCCACCGCGGCTCCTGAAATAACAATTGATATTTGAGAATGTTTTAATGTGTGTAATTCTCTATATAATTATAATAGTAATATAACACTGACAGCTGTATTTATATCAATCTAATATTATTAGCTTACAATTTCGTTTCATTATTATTTTTGTTTCTCAATCTCCATTGTAATCTAACAAAATTTATATCAAGGTTGTGTTCTGGTGACATTTCAAGATATTTATAGACAATCACATGCCACTCTCCAACTCTCAGAATCACTTTTACAAGCAAGTATCAACAGACTCATAATCTCATTGGTCATATTATCAATCTACGCAATTCATAGTCCATATTTAGACACGGATTCTGCATGATGCTCTGTGATTGGTGGAAATGAACGTCAACAGTACACGAGCTTGGTATAAATCATTTTTGGTTACAATGGAGCATGTAAAAAAATATATTAACGAAATGAAAATTGCAATCTAATTTGAATTAAATTGCATTTATATACATATTCAAAACTTTTTCAAGACTAGAAAATAATAAACATATCAGCCATTTTGAGGGATAGACTTTAGATAAATATTCAGAGGGATAGACTTTAGGTAAATATTCGGAGGGATAGACTTTAGATAAATATTCAGAGGGATAGACTTTAGGTAAATATTCAGAGGGATAGACTTTAGGTAAATATTCGGAGGGATAGACTTTAGATAAATATTCAGAGGGATAGACTTTAGGTAAATATTCAGAGGGATATTTTGGTAAATATTCAGAGGGATAGACTTTAGATAAATATTCAGAGGGATAGACTTTAGGTAAATATTCGGAGGGATAGACTTTAGATAAATATTCAGAGGGATAGACTTTAGGTAAATATTCGGAGGGATAGACTTTAGGTAAATATTCAGAGGGATAGACTTTAGGTAAATATTCAGAGGGATAGACTTTAGGTAAATATTCAGAGGGATAGAATTTAGGTAAATATTCAGAGGGATAGACTTTAGGTAAATATTCAGAGGGATAGACTTTAGGTAAATATTCAGAGGGATAGACTTTAGGTAAATATTCAGAGGGATAGACTTTAGATAAATATTCAGAGGGATATTTTGGTAAATATTCAGAGGGATAGACTTTAGGTAAATATTCAGAGGGATAGACTTTAGGTAAATATTCAGAGGGATATTTTGGTAAATATTCAGAGGGATAGACTTTAGATAAATATTCAGAGGGATAGACTTTAGGTAAATATTCAGAGGGATAGACTTTAGGTAAATATTCAGAGGGATAGACTTTAGGTAAATATTCAGAGGGATATTTTGGTGAATATTCAGAGGGATAGACTTTAGGTAAATATTCAGAGGGATAGACTTTAGGTAAATATTCAGAGGGATAGACTTTAGGTAAATATTCAGAGGGATAGACTTTAGATAAATATTCAGAGGGATAGACTTTAGGTAAATATTCAGAGGGATAGACTTTAGGTAAATATTCAGAGGGATAGACTTTAGGTAAATATTCAGAGGGATAGACTTTAGATAAATATTCAGAGGGATAGACTTTAGATAAATATTCAGAGGGATA